TCATAACAACACCACCTTTGGGTACTCAAAATACAAGCATTGTTATACGGAAGAAGGATTTTTTTTTATATACTTGTATAAAAATTGGGTTTTATACAAGAGTGGACTATAAAAACAATGATGGAAATATTGTATGTACACTGAAGAGATTTCATGCAACTCCTATTCAAGAAAGAATTAACTATAAGAAAATTTCAAAGAATCCGAACCGCCGCCGCACTGTGACTGTGAAGAAATACACTAAAGGAATGCTACTCTCTTGTTTTTATCCGAATTTCCACAATCGCACAAGACCAATTATTCGTGTGTGGTGGTGGTGGGAAAATACTAGTAACACCACTACAAATGACACTATCATTATTCCAACCTCTGTATCTGTTACATATTTATCCAAGATACTTACGAATAATCCAGAATTAGTGAATAAGGAGAAATTGAAGGAATCCCTTTTTTTTATTACTTTGGGATGTACTGTTTATTCTCCCGAACAATATATAAACGAAAACGAAATACATTATAATATATCGTCATCTATATTATCATATATGATAAATAAATCTACAAAGATAGATTACCATATAATATAAATATTTTCCTTTATTTTGGTAATTTTCCTTCCTCTGTATATATAAACAGGGAATATACTATCCTCAATCATTATCACACAGCACACAGTACAGTCATCTACAAACTAGCTAGCCGCCATCCAACAATCAAAAAGGAGAATAATTATGGCTACCAAGGATCTTTCAGTTGATTTTTATTGTTTGGAGAGTGACAATGATAAACTGAAATATAATATATTTCAGATACCGAGACTCTCTCACGACGATGAAGAAAAAGGAGAAACAACTAGGAATATAGTATTTGTTGATACATCATTTTCTATGAAAAATAGTTTGGAAACACTCCACTTAGCTTGGGAAGAGCATATAAAACCTAAATTAAAGGGTAATGTAACTGATATTTACCACTTTGGAAGTTTTGTGGAATGTATTAGGTTTAATGAACAAGAAGACCCATCTTTATTTAATACTGAACGGCAGTTGAAAAGTTTGATATATAATAATAGGAATAGTACCAATTTAATTGGTGCCCTAGAGCAATTGATGAGGAATATGAAGGATTATGAACATAATTGTATACATCAAAGAGGTCGAGTACGAGTGTTCCTGATTACAGACGGAATTAATAATGGGACATCTAATAATTTTTCGACACCTGAAGATGTAGTAAATCACATGAAGTGCATGAAAACAAAAACATGTGAAATTTTTATACTTGGAATAGGGGAAGATTTTCCAGTATATTTGAGTGTAAATTTACGTTCTAATTTACATAATGGTCCAACTAATATACCCATTATTTTTTATACTGAAAATGATGATGGAATATGTTATCAAATGAAATGCATCAGTGATTATATATTAGAAAATCATCAAGGAATGTTTACTCAACAACAACCACCTTGTAGAAAAAGAAGAAATATTTTGCATGTTATCCCCATAAAATTGAATGGGATACCTCTTCTGCAAATATTTTATCCAGGCGAGTGGGTTATTTCCTCTACTGCAGCCATAGATGATCATGAAGAAGACAACAAATATTACATATTAAAGGACGAAATGACGGGTATGTTGTATAGACTGAAACCCCAGGTATCGCATTCTCAATATCCACTTTTACCATTAAAGTTACTAGAAATAGTAATTAATCAATGGTTTAGTAAACTGATTGAAGATAGTCAAAAGAGAGAAGGATTAACGATATCTAATATAAATACTATATTCGAACATATTAAGCAGTTAGTAAATAGAAGATGCCAACAAATTGGAAGAGAAGGAAACACATTTTTGGCATTATTTCACAGAAAGTACAAATCAACCTACGAGATAATTTTAAAGAAAAAAATACTATCATCACATGATTTAATCCGAGGTATCCTTCATGTTAGTGATGTTACATCTCACGGAAAATATGCAGTGACAGCCCTCCGATTAAAAGGATTTAATGAGCCTAACGAGCATGAAAAATCATGTGAAGAATTCAAACGTATATATAATCTAGAAAAAGATAAGATAAAGGCATATAAAGTAGATAGTAATAATGAGGTTTGTTTTATTAATTTATCATCTATGATAACAGAAATGCAGGATGATGAATTTACAGACAAACTCGATTACTTATCTCGAGAGGAGCTATATGCTACATTTTCTGTGGCTGGTATACCAGTTTACTTAGTTGCAAGAGACGCCACTGTCATGAACCCTTGGACTGTGCAGATCACTAATGTAGTAGTTGGTGTAAAGGGATGTATTTCACAGACTGGATTGGACATGCTAATGACGAATAAGAATGCGTCACAAGAAATTGAGTTAACGAAAGGTGATCCTAACACGTTGGTAAATGCGGTAGTTCCGGTATTTTCAATGAGTGAGATTCCTTTAATGAAACCTTTCATGTCAACTACACTTATGGCTGGACTCTTAGCTTATACCACAATGAGGAATCCTGCTATTAAAGATTTTAACATACATTTGGCTAGTTTGAGTGCGGTGTGGATTAATATTATTCATAATTTTCCCTCGACGAGGGAAAGACCCGAATATGTGAATAAAATAATTGAAAAAATTGTGACTACTGCCAAGATGTATTTGTATGAGTGCGAAAAGGTAAGACCTCGCTTATCTCTCTATCTTTCAACCCTGTTATATCCAATATATCCGGATTATAATGGCGATATCGAGAAAGAGAGTGATGTACACTGTCAACTTTTGATGACTGAGAGTATAGAAGATGATTTAGTAACGGGTCTACCCAAGTTTAAATGCGAAAGTCTTTTAAAACCAATGTTCCTCGCCTTTGTTGGAGATGTATCTAATAAGTGGAAACAGATTACCATTGAAAAATTTATCCACTTATTGAAAATTGAATGGTTGGGACGATGTATTGACCGACAAAAAGTAATTGATAAATATTTTGATGTGAATATTGCTGCAATAGTGGATGAAATAATGAAAATAAATGGAAGAGTCAAAAAGGATTTTAGTATAGAAAATTTTTATACACCTCAGGAAGTGCGAAAATATGCTCGTAAAAGTCTAAAGGCAGTTATAAAGGAAAATAATTTTGGTATATTGCAGTTTTTACATAATAATATCCATTTGAATTTTTGTGCTATTGGAGGCTTGAAACGGCCAAGTTCTGCCGGAGATGTGACCTTATGTTGGATTATTAGGTAATGCATGTCAACAGAAACAATGTCCCTATTATTTACAACCTCGACTTAATGGATTTGGTGATCATATTGCTGCTGAAAGAATAAGCAAAAGGGACAACTTCGCCCATTGTCTTCATAAATCTATGAGTCAATTAAGTATGTTTGATAATGCTGATTATATTAGTGTAATAAAGGATGTATTAACAAGAAAATCTCTGTACAAAAAAAACACAGAAAGTTATAGTAGTAGATTTATGGAGATATGTTTTGATACTTCATCATTAAATAAAAATAATCCCATGTGGCAAAGAATATCAGAATGTCTAAATAAATATAGAAGTTTTAGAAAAAGGAGTTAGTTAGCCAATAATATTTTTAAAATGTATTTTTATAAAAAAATTATAAATTTTTACTTTTATCATATAAAACAAATCCCATGTGGTAAAGATCTAAATAAAATATAGAAGCCAAGCCAATAATATTTTTAAATCAAAATATTTAGAAAAAGGAGTTAGCCAGCCAATAATTAATATGTATAAAAAATGTATGTTTAGAATTACCATAAAAAATGTTTATTTTTTGTAAAAAAGGGAAAAAATAAAAATAAAATTCTAACATTCATTTTATTTCCAATTCCAATTATAATTTTGTGACTCGTAGAGCATAACAACCAGGTAAGCGACAGATTGGTGTACAGGAAGCTGATTGACATGATGAACTGTGAGCAATTACTTGCAGGAAAACCATCTTATGTTGATTGAAAACAGAATACAGCCTGAAGGCATTAAGTTGACAATAAAATACTTCATTTTTGTCAATTTTCCCTGCCTGCAATATCTGAAATAAAAAAAAATAAATACAAAAATAAAATGTTTGGTTGTGTTTTCGTACATAGTACACAGATTCAATAAAATGGGGTTGCTTATAAATACAACAGTCAGTGTGAAAATTGGGGAACACAGAGCAGTATATACTTACTCTACTCCTCCACCTACCTACCTTCAAGACGCACATTTTGGAAGTGAGTTTACAACCCACTCGAAGGATATTTATAGGATATGGAGCAGCCGGAGCTGGAGCAATATAACATCAAATGGAATAATCATCAAAGTAGTATCATCTCCATGTTTTGCCAGCTGTACAATCAAAAGGCTTTTACAGACGTTACCCTCTCCTGTAACAAGGATTCCTTCGCCGTTCACAAGGTGATCTTGATGACATGTAGCCCTATCTTTTATGAGCTCATTCTCTTGGATCTTGATAAACACCCAATATTCCATTTAGGTGACATATCTCCTAAATATATAAAAGAGTTAATTTCCTTTATGTATCGGGGAGAGATTAACATCCATAAGAACGAACTCTCCAACTTTCTTAAAATAGCAAAGGGTTTAAAGATCAAGGGATTATATAATGATGATATACAAAATACAATAATAGGATACCCACCCACAATACAGCAGCAGCAGTCCACATACGGAGCACCCATAGAGCAACAACCTACATACGGACCACCCACAATACAGCATCAGTCCACATACGGACCACCCATAGAGCAACAACCTACATACGAACAACCCATAGAGGCTATAGAGAAGCAACATACATATGGACAACCAATCGATCAGCAGCTTACATATGGGCAACCAATTTATCAGCAGCATACATATGGACAACCAATAGAGCAGCAACCACTCATTGAGTCCACATCCACATATGGACCACCCATAGTGCCACAGTCCACATCGACATATGGACCACCCATAGTGCCACAGTCTACATCTGGACCACCTATAGTGCCACAGTCTACATCTGGACCACCAATAGTGCCACAATCTACATCTGGACCACCAATAGTGCCAACATCTGGACCACCCATAGTGCCACAGTCTACATCTGGACCACCAATAGTGCACAGACCACCCACAATACAGCAGCAGTCCACATACGGACCACCCATAGAGCAACAACCTACATACGAACAACCCATAGAGGCTATAGAGAAGCAACATACATATGGACAACCAATCGATCAGCAGCTTACATATGGGCAACCAATTTATCAGCAGCATACATATGGACAACCAATAGAGCAGCAACCACTCATTGAGTCCACATCCACATATGGACCACCCATAGTGCCACAGTCCACATCGACATATGGACCACCCATAGTGCCACAGTCTACATATGGACCACCCATAGTGCCACAGTCTACATATGGACCACCAATAGTGCCACAGTCTACATCTGGACCACCAATAGTGCCACAGTCTACATATGGACCACCAATAATGCCACAGTCTACATCTGGACCACCAATAGTGCCACAGTCTACATCTGGACCACCCATAGTGCCACAGTCTACATCTGGACCACCAATAGTGCACAGACCACCCACAATACAGCAGCAGTCCACATACGGACCACCCATAGAGCAACAACCTACATACGAACAACCCATAGAGGCTATAGAGCAGCAACCTACATATGGACAACCAATCGATCAGCAACCTACAAATGGACAACCAATCGATCAGCAACATACATATGGACAACCAATAGAGCAGCAACCACCCATTGAACCCAGAATGAAGAAACCCAGAATGAAGCAGCAGTCCACATACGGGCCACAGTCCACATATGGACCACCCATAGTGCCACAGTCCACATCACATATGGACCACCATAGTGCCACAGTCACACACATATGACCACCCATAGTGCCACAGTCCACATCCACATATGGACCACTCATAGTGCCACAGTTAACATCCACATATGGACCACCCATAGTGCCACAGTTCACATCCACATATGGACCACCCATAGTGCCATAGTCCACATATGGACCACCCATAGTGCCACAGTCCACATATGGACCACCCATATACAACAGTGCCAATTAATAGTGCCACAGTCTACATCTGACCACCAATAGTGCCACAGTACATCTGGACCACTATAGTGCCACAGTCTACATCTGGACCACCAATAGTGCACAGACCACCACAATACAGCAGCAGTCCACAAGGGACCACCCATAGAGCAACAACCTACATACGAACAACCCATAGAGGCTATAGAGAAGCAACATACATATGGGCAACCAATTTATCAGCAGCATACATATGGACAACCAATAGAGCAGCAACCACTCATTGAACCCAGAATGAAGAAACCCAGAATGAAGCAGCAGTCCACATACGAACCACAATCCACATATGGACCACCCATAGTGCCACAGTCCGGACCACCCATAGTGCCACAGTCCATACATCCACATATGGACCACCCATAGTGCCACAGTCCACATCCACATATGGATCCCTTATGCCAGTCCACATCACATATGGACCACCCATAGTGCCACAGTTCACATCCACATATGGACCACCCATAGTGCCACAGTCCACATCCACATATGGACCACTCATAGTGCCACAGTTAACATCCACATATGGACCACCCATAGTGCCACAGTTCACATCCACATATGGACCACCCATAGTGCCATAGTCCACATATGGACCACCCATAGTGCCACAGTCCACATATGGACCACCCATAGTACAACAGTCTACGTACAGACCACCTATGAAGCAACAACCTACATACCAACCACCTATGGAGCAACAACCTATATACGGATCACCCATAGAGCAACAACCTGGATTACCCATAGAGCTCAAGATAGAGCAGGCCAATGTTAAACCGATGTTTAATAACAATAAAATTACTCGATGTCACTCCTTACCAAATCCTTATTAAAATTCATTAGATTATGATAAAGAATTTCCTCTATTCAAAACATTTGTATTTATTACATACTCCACATTCAGAAAAAATTAATTATCATTCATTTTGTTTATTATATATTGTGGATCTGCCTGCAAGCATTGATAAATAAATACAGTATACTTCAGATTTTTATTTTTAAAAAACTATAAAATCACGATATAATAACTTTACAAAAATACTCAATCTTTTGCATACATATTGGACAATTGGATAATGATGAAATACACACAGAACATACTGCAACATGTGTACAGGGCATGATTACAATATTTCTGTCTTTATTATAACATATTAAACATACGAGAGCATTATATTGAGGAAGAGGGGAAAGAACTGGGGGAGGGGTAGCTGGATTACTACGTGGAGGAGAATGATGAGGTTGTGCTATTTCAAGAAATGATTGATTAAGATGTGCTATTTCAGGAGATGATTGATTAGGTTGTACTATTTCAGGAGATGATTGATTAGGTTGTGCTATTTCAGGAGATGATTGATTAGGTTGTGCTATTTCAGGAGATGATTGATGATTAAGTTGTGGTTGATTAGGTTGCAGTGTAAGCCTATTGATTTTAGGGAATGTAAACCTAAACCTATTATTTTCAGGATAAGATGGTGGTGAATAGGCTTGTAAAGGAGGAATTGATATGTCTGTAGTCCTTCTAGTCCTTGACTGAGCTCTAGCCTCGGTCTCCATAAGCTCCAAAACTGAAGAAATACAATCATCTAGAGTATAAAAGGGGACACCACTCTCTTCAAGTCTTTTATAAAGAGTGCGTCTTACATTATCGGAAGGAACTCCCATGTTTATAACCACCTTTATTATACTACTTTTATTCATTAAATAGGTCATATCATCATCCGATAGATTTACTTGATAAATCTTCTGGGGCTTAACTGCTGAATTACTTTGTTTGTAAGGAGGAGTTTAATCTTGAACCTGAAAAAGAAGAAATATAATTAGTGTTGGTTGTTTTGTTATTTTAATAATTACTATTAATAATAAATAATATTACTTTTAAATATATTTTACCTACCTTTTTAATAAAATCAGCCTCCTTGTTCATTAATAAAAATTCACAACTTGAGGACCAACGTGCATGTACATTCCATGGTTCTTCATTTTCCTCCCAATTGTGAAGACCTACGCCACAAGAAAAGCATCGTACCATGTTTAGTATGCCAGTGTAATAAAAACCTGCTTCTGCTAAATCACAGATTGTCAGTCGTTGTTGTTGTATTTCTAGAGGCCAATACTCTAGCCTCCGTTCAGTTTGAAAGCTTTGCAGTCTTGCTTCAAGCGTATTATATTTGCGATAATATGGTGTCCGTGTCTCTTTCTTTTCCATTTCTGGAATTGGAATTATCTGATCTAAAATGCAACTCTGACCCAGGTTGATGTTTGCCGTTGGTTGATTTCTAACGAAGGAACAATGGGGAAAAAGTCTTTTATGTTCTATGAGGGGTGTATCATCCTCTTTCCAATCACCTACGATACCCCTGCAAAAATAACAGGCACAGTGATCTTTTTTTCTGAGATAATAAAAACCCGCAGCTGCTAAATCTTCAGGAGATATCCACAAAGACAGGGGCCAGTCTATGAACGTATCCAGTCGTTCCTTTTCAAATCTTAATATATTGTTGATGTTATAGAATGTCTTGGACAGATTTAAAGTGCGTAAAAATATGCACTGGGGCCGTTTCTCTCTGTGAAAAGCTTCACTGTCGATAACGGCAGCGACGGCAGTATCGATTTCCAACTTGCACTTAAAACATTTTATTTTATTCTCTTCCTGTGAAAAATAAAACCCAGCTCTCGAAAAGGTCTCCACATCTACATTTATTAGTGGAGAATTGGTCAAAAAAGTATTCTGACGATCCTTTTTTCATAAAGACCCTGCCTTGATTGTTCCATTATTAGTGTACCCTTGACCCCTATGAGTTTATTGTACCCGCCCAACACTGGGTATGTAACCTCGCCTCCTAGCCAGCACTGAGTTCGTCCATCCAATTTATACATCCAGAGTTGTCAGGTTGTAATATTTTATGAAATGATGAAGGTTCGAAATTTATGTTGTGTATAAATAAGTGTCGTTAGTCATCTACTACAGTCCCACAAAGTACCTACTAAGATATGGATATACACAATCACAATACTATACAAGAGGAGGAGGAGAAAAAAGAAGAAAAAGAAGAAGAAGAAGAAGAAAAAGAAAAAGAAAAAGAAAAAGAAAAAGAAAAAGAAAAAGAAAAAGAAAAAGAAAAAGAAAAAGAAAAAGAAAAAGAAAAAGAAAAAGAAAAAGAAAAGAAGAAGAAGAAGAAGAAGAAGAAGAAGAAGAAGAAGAAGAAGAAGAAGAAGAAGAAGAAGAAGAAGAAGAAGAAGAAGAAGAAGAAGAAGAAGAAGAAGAAGAAGAAGAAGAAGAAGTTACTTTTATATCTGAACCACAAGTACATTATCTAATTTCAGACTCATTTTCTAGAGAAGCTAGAATGGGGACTGACTGGATAAACAGAATACATTTTAAAAAACGATGTGATGATACGTCGATAAAATTATCTGCTATTTTAATAGAGAGTCATCGAAAGAATGTATGTGATAATAGATTTAAGTGATTATTATCACTCAGTTTCACAAAAGTTTTGAAATACATTTTATTTTGAATTTGTAGTTTTTGTTTATACATACACTACCAAATTATAAAAAAACGAAAAATAAAACCAATAGAAATTACTATCGTTTTTGAACGAGAAAATCTAAAAGATCTATAGTATTTTTTACCACACAACATGTATTTGAAAAACATTTTAATTTATTAGTATCTATATAGAGTCTAGCTGAGGGTGTTTTTGAATGTCCTCGTTTTTCGTGATATGGACAGTAAATGCTACTTTTCCATTCATTACCAGCTGCCTCATTCTCCCAATAAGGTTCTTCTTTTAAAATCTTTTGACATTCTAGAGTAGCCATTTTCAATTTTTTTATATATTTATATACTGATGGGTATTTTTCTGAATGTGATTTTTTAAAACCTCTTTTTAAACACTTATATGACGACGACAACGACGACAACGAAGAGGATCTTGATCTTTTGGTTGGTGGTGGTCGACATGTATTCTTGCTAACTATAATTTCATATTCATATTCAGTTTCACAATTTTCTTTTTCTTTTTTTTTTTCAATTGCAACTTTTATTTCTTCTGGTGATATATATCCACCGGTTTTACATTCTGTGAATATAAACGGAATTTCCTTATTCATTATGGAGTTAAAGCAACAAAAATATTAAATGAATGGAAAGATTATTATCAATTTATAGTAAAATCTCAGTTTTTATATATACAAGATAAGCGGTATGCTAATTATTTTGAATCACTCTTAAGGACATGGCCTTCTTTTGTAAAAAATTTAAAAGTTATAATTGTTCATCAAAGAACCTCAGGTAATAAACAATGGTATTTATCCAAAGATAAAACGATATTAAATATATTTGACTCACCCTTCGAAATAAAATTCTCATCATCGATGATAAATGGAATAACAGTATCTGGTAGTTCTGCTTTCGGTATTAAAAAAATAATTAATTCATTGATTGCAGGAATAAAAAAGGAAAATAAAAACATATATATTCAATGGGGTCAAAGTAATAACAATGATAGCCCTAGTGATGATGATATGAACGATAACAACTAAATATTTTTTAATTGGGTAGGATAAGGATAAATATATAAATATAGGGATATAAAATAGAAAATCTATTATTGTCTATGGGTTCACTAGATGAAGATCTACTTAAGTAACACACGACAGAGTAACAAGCTAATAGCTATTCAGCAATGACCACCAAGGAGAAGAATTTTAATATACCCTTTACTGGAAGTGATATATTTGTAACTTTGAAGATAGTGTATAGTCAACTTGATGCAGCACACTCACATTCAAGTTTTGCCGAATCTACTAACAATAATAAAGTTTATCTCCGCCACAGGAATAAGAAG